TCAGTGGTAGAGCGCTTGCCTTGCATGCCTGAGGCCCTGGGTTCGATTCCTCAGCACCACATAAGCAAAAAGAAAAAAGCCAGAAGTAGCGCTGTGGTCAAGTGGTAGAGCTGAAGAGCTGAGGGACAGCGCCCAGGCCCAGAGTTCAGACCCCACGACCGGACCCCCTCTCATGGAGAGAGAGAGAGAGAGAGAGAGAAAGAGAGTTATTTTTTTAATGTAGTGGTGAGGAATCGAATCGAACCCAGGACCTCATGCATGTGAGGCAAGCACTCTACACTGAGCCACCTTCCCAGCCTCCTAGCTGTCTATTTTTAAATGGTTGCAAAAATAGGAAAGATCTAATGCTTTTTTGTTGTTGTTGTTGTTGGTTGTAGGGCTTGAACTCTGGGCTTGGGTGCTATCCCTGCACTCTTCAGCTCAAGGTGAGCGCTCTACCACTTACTTGAGCCACAGCACCACTTCCAGTTTTCTAGTGGTTTATTAGAGATAAGAGTTTCACGGACGTTCCTACCTGGGCTGGCTTTGAACCATGATCTCAGCCTTCTGAGTAGCTATGATTACAGACGTAAACCATTGGCGCCCGGCATAGTTGTGAAATTTGCTAGGCATACGTTAACTTGAGTATTTCACATCACAAGGCAGGATTAAAAAGTTACAACAAGGGCTGGGAAGGTGGCTCAGTGGTAGAGCGCTTGCCTTGCATGCATGAGGCCCTGGTTTCGATTCCTTAGTACCACATAAGCAAAAAGAAAAAAGCCAGAAGTGGCGCTGTGGCTCAACTGGTAGAGCGCTAGCCTTGAGCTGAAGAGCTGAGGGACAGTGCCCAGACCCAGAGTTCAGGCCCCACGACTGGAAGAAAAAAAAAAAAAACTATTAAAAAAAAAAAAGGTTACTAGGTACTAGTGGATCAGATCTGTAATCCTAGCTACTCAGGAGGCTGAAATTTGAGGATCAGGGTTCAATAAAGCCAGACAAGGCAGTCAAAGTCTGTGAGACTATATTATCTCCAATTAACAAGAAAACCAGAAGTGGTGCTGTGGTTGAGAGTGATAGCACTAGCCTTGAGCAAAACAGCCCAGAGACAACATGACCAAGAACATCAAATAATTACAACAAATACACTATAGTCCACAAAGCCCGGAATATTTACTATCTGGTTCTTTTTTGATGGTATTAGGGTTAAAACTCAGGGCTTGTTAGGCTAGCACTCTACAATTTGAAGCACATGAACCAGCCATTTTTGCTTTGGTTATTTTTTGAATCTGCTATTTGCCTAGGCTGATCTAGGCAAATATTTTAGACCACAATCATTTACCCTTCTCTTCTAGCTGGGACAATAGTCACACACCAATGTATGTAGCTTTTTACTGATTGAGATGTGGTCATGCAGACTTTCTGCCTGGGCTGGCCTTGGACTGCAATCTTTCTGAGTAGCTAGGATTATAGGCACTAGCCACCATGCCCAGTTGATGTTACATTTTTATGAAAGTATACATTAGTTGTGCAAAGGGAAGATGCACTGTTAGCTTTCCACACATACCCAATGTTCCAAGATCACTCATCTTTTCATCTTTTGGCCTCATCTCCCTTCCTGCCTTTTTAAAAACAACTTCAACAAGTTTCACTGTTTCATTTTCACACATGCATATATATATATAGTATTTAGGCCAAATTACCCTAATTTTACCCACTCACTGTCCTTCACCCACCTGATAGTACCTGCTTCACAACACTACTTTTTATGATTCTTTTTTAAATGTTTCAATCTGGTAATTTACACATGAATATATTATGCTGTGTCAGATTAACCTGATCTGTTGTTCTCCTTCTCCATTCCTCAAACTGACATTGCATTTTCACTCCAAAAAAAGACTAGAAGTGGGGCTGGGGCTCAGTGGCTGAGTGCTTGCTTTGCATGCATGAGGTTTGATTCTTCAGTACCACATAAGCAGAAAAAGCCAGAAATGGTGCTGTCCCTGTGCTCTTCAGCTCAAGGGAAGCACTCTACCGCTTGAGCCACAGAGCCACTTCCAGTTTTTGAGTGGTTTATTGGAGATAAGAGTCTCATGGACTTTCCTGCCTGGGATGGCTTTGAACCAGGATCCTCAGATCTCAGCCTCCTGAGTAGCTAGGATTACAGGTGTGAGCCACCAGCGCCTGGCCTACATGAGTTTCTTGTACTACTTTTTATCAAGAAAGGACCCTGAAAAATAAAAACTAAAACCTTAAGGTTGTAAGTATGGTGCAATAGTGGAACACTAGCCTAGAAAGCACAGGCCCTGAGTTCAAACCCCAGTACCACTAAAAGAGAGAGAGGAAAGAGGGGAGAGAGGGAGAAGAGAGAAGACAAGGGAAAGGGGGAAAAGAGGGAGATGAAGAGAGACAGCTGAGGAGAGAGGGATGGGGAGAGAAAAAGAGAAGCGGGAACTGGGGCTGGCTATGTAGCCTAAATTGTCCTTTCAATCTTTCTTTCCTAAGACTCCCAGAATACTAAGATTATAGGCATATCTCACCATGCCCCTATTAATTTGTACCTCATTAAATGGGGTAACCCCCTTCACACTCAACTGTTGTTACATAAAATTACTTACCCGTGTCCGATCTTCAATGCTATATATCTTTAATTGCATGGGGATGTTAAAGCTATGTAAAAAATTGCCTCCAAACACTAATGTATCTGTAGGAGTATACACAGCATGAATCCACCCTAGAAGAAACAGAAGGGAAACAGAAACTGCAATTACATATTGAAGAATGCTTTTTTTTTTTTTGGTAGGTCCTGGGGCTTGAACTCTGGGCTTGGGTGCTGTCCCTAAGCTCTTCAGCTCAAGGCAAGTGCTCTACTGCTTGAGCCATAGTGCCACTTCCAGTTTTTGAGTGGTTTATTGGAGCTAAGAGTCTCAGGGATTTTCCTGCCCAGGCTGGCTTAGAAACATGATCCTCAGATCTCAGCCTCCTGAGTAGCTAGGATTACAGGCGTGAGCCACCAGCGCCCAGCTTGCTTTTTCTTTTTGTCCAAGACTAGGACTTATACTTAGTACCTGATACTTTCACTCATTGACTGATGTTTTACCACCTGAGCATGCCTCCAATCGCTAAAGGATATATTTTCCCTTTTTTTTTGGGGGGGGGGGAGGCTTGAACTCAGGGTCTGGGCACTGTCCCTAAGCTTCTTTTGCTCAAGGCTAGCACTCTACCACTTGAGCCACAGAGCTACTTCCGGCTCTTTCTGTGTATGAGGTGCTGAGGAATTGAACCCAGGGCTTCATGCGTGCTAGGCAAGCCCTCACCATTAAACCACATTCCCAGCCCCAAGGATGCTTTTTCAAAGCAACAGCACAATGTTCCTGGATTATATCCTTTTTCTGAAAAAAAAATTTTTTTGAGACAGGAACTCATTATAAAGCTCAGGTTGGCCTCAGGCTCTTGAGAGCTGGCTGGGATTACTGGTATGTACAAACATACTCATTTTATATTATATTCTTTTTTCTTTTTTTTGGGGGGGGGGTCTGGTCATGGGGCCTGAACTCTGGGCCTGGGTGCTATCCCTCAGCTCTTCAGCTCAAGGCTAGCGCTCTACCTCTTGAGCCACAGTGCCACTTCCGGCTTTTTTCTTTTTGCTTATGTGGTGCTGAGGAATCGAACCCAGGGCCTAATGCATGCAAGGCAAGCGCTCTACCACTGAGCCACCTTCCCAGCCCATCCAAGAAACTTTTAATAAATATTGCTACCAATTATTGGAGTACCAATTATAAACCAGCTCTGTATAAAATAACTTACTCTTTTAAAATAAAATACAGAAATATTTGACTAAAGTAATATCTAGCAAGTAAATGCATAGTCAAAATTCTCAAACAGAGCCATGCACATGCCTATAATCCTAGCTACTCAGGAGGCTGAGATCTGAGGATCATGGTTCAAAGTCAGCCTGAGCAGGAAAATCTGTCAGACTCTTATCTCCAATAAGTTACCAGAAAACTGACTCAAGTGGCAGCACACAAGCCTTGAGCTGAAGAGCTGAGGGAAGGTGCCCAGGCCCAGAGTTCAAACTCCAAGACCAAAAACAAAAAAAATCTCACAGGATGGCGACTCCAAAATCTGTGCTCTTTATAAGCACTTACTCTTGAACTAGAGACTGTCAAAGACAACGTCCTTCACCACTACAGCTTAACTGTCATTGCTAGAACAGCAGACAGTTCTCCAGCAGAGATGGTGTCCTTTTTGTAGAAATTCTCAACTACTTAGGGTAATGTCAGGTCCCTAAACATTCTGAGTGAATCAAGTTTCAGAAGAACATACAGCAGATCAAACTTACTAGCTATTCCTTGCTAGGGGACCCATGTGTTATCTTTTGAAAATCCTCCCCTGGCAATTCTGACACATTGTTAAGTGAATTTTTTTTTCCCCTCTAGGTCCAAGAACTTAGCATCTGCAGCTACTTTCACTCATTGGTTAGGACTCTACCAACTGAGCCATACCACCAACCCCTTTCTAAAAATTTGTATTCAAAGCATCTACTCCATATCAATCAGAAAGGGGCTGGGAACGTGGCTTAGTAGTAGAGTGCTTGCCTGACATACATGAAGCCTTGGGTTGGCCTTTTTGGTACTATATAAACAGAAAAGGCTAGAAGTGGCACTAGCTCAGTGGTACAGTGCTAGCCATGAGCAAAAAAGAAGCTCAGGGACAGTGCCCAGGCCCTGAGTTCAAGCCCCAGGACTGGCCAAAAAAACAAGCAAGCAAGCAAACAAACAAAAAAACTGTAAGAAAGGGTATCCTTGTTTGCTTCTCACCTTAGCATATAGCCAGTGTTACTGATGGATCCATTACTTTCCCTATCTTTAAGAAAATAAAATGGCAACAAACAGTCTACTTTTTCCTTCCTTGCTTACCTGAAGGAATGACGAAGGTATACCCCTGCTTGAGCTCAATGCGTTGGCAATCTGATACCCGGTCACCCAGAAAGATGTCTCCCTGTTTCCCTGACAGCAGCCAATTCTCGTACAGCTCCAGGTTGTGGGCTGTAGGGGGGATGAGCCAGAAGACCTGTGAGTTAAAAAACTTCAGTCTGTTAACAGCCATTGACATGACCCAGTCGTCTCCCTCAACTGATAAACAGGTAAAGTTAAGATTACTAGGCAGAAGTAAGTCAGGCAAGCAATCCCAGCCTACAGAATGTGACTCTCTGGGTAACTCTCAGGGCTCAGGAAAGTAGATCTTTCTCATCAACCACTTTATCAAGACTTCCTTGAGGTGTAGAACTCAGAACCCATCCACACGACTCAGAGAATAAGAGCCTAGAGCTCATCACCTGGATAATTTCTTTTTTTTTTGGGTCCGGTCGTGGGGCCTGTACTCGGCCTGGGTGCTGTCCCTCAGCTCTTCAGCTCAAGGCTAGCACTCTACCACTTGAGCCACAGTGCCACTTCCGGCTTTTTTCTTTTTGCTTATGTGGTGCTGAGGAATCGAACCCAGGGCCTCAGGCATGCAAGGCAAGCGCTCTACCACTGAGCCACCTTCCCAGCCCTGGATAATTTCTTATAAGCTCTAGATATCTTGTTTCTGGAGTCCTAAGGAACACCATTATTTAGGTTCACTACCTTCAAGAGACTGGCCTGAAGCTACTTTGTTCCTAGGCAAAACTAGTAAGACAAAACTGAAGATCTAAAGTAAACAAAGTGATTTTGAATTTGGATATACTGTAATCATAGACAAAGGCTTCACAAAATGTTTTTCATTCCGATTCTACTTTTGCATTCACTTCTAGTAGGGGAAAAAGGCCTCACATGATAAAATTCTGACATATATTAATTCCAGATTTCATCCTCACATAGATTGCAGAAACACTTTGAAAAGCTGTAAAGGCTACATTTCAGACTCAAAACCTCCATATAGCTAATTTGTACCCTAATTTGTTGATTGCATTTGTATTCCCTTCTACTACCTATAAAACTTCAAAGTACAGAAATTATGTTGTCCTCCTAATCATCTCCTTGGTTTTGTTTGGAGAATTCCACTTTGGAGCCTAAAAAACAGGAATGTTAAGATATCCTAAGTACTGGGCTAAGCTGTCTTAACAGTGGACAAGATAAATACTACAACTCTACTAAACAATAGCCATGAAGGTAAACTAAATCCCTAAGCTTCTTCAGATATGTAGAGGGCCAATATCTAGCAGATTCATCACTAGGGTATAATAAGCATGCATTAATTGAAGCAAAGCTACATCGTCAACTTCAGATTTCAATCCCCACAACAAGTATGACCATACCTTTCCACCTTGGTGGATGTGATACCAAACAGAGGTACCACCAAAGTCCACATGGAAGTCAGTATAGCAGCCTCGAACACTCATTAGACAGTATCTGACCCAAAGAAAAACAGCAGCATTAGTGCTCAGATGGATAAAGAGAACCAAGCCACACTCCTCCCTATCTTCCATCTAATCAACTACTAGTAGATGGAAGGAATACAATTTTAAGTCATCACACTTTTCCCCTCCTTAACTTGGGGCATCATAAAAGCTAAGATATTCTTACACATATTCTTTTTTTTTGGTGGTCATGAGTTTAAACTCTGGGCCTGGGCCTGGGCCCTCAGCTCTTCAGCACAAGGCGAGAGCTCTACCAATTGAACCACAGCACCATTTCCAATTTTCTTGTGGTTAATTGGAGATAAGAGTCTCACAGACTTTCCTGCCCCTCCTGGCTTTGAATCTCAATCCTCAGATCTCAACCTGCTTAGTAGCTAGGATTACAGGCACAAGCCACCGGGGCCTGGCACATATTCCTCTTTTTAAACATCTACTGTAATCCATCTTTCTGATAATTTAGTATATAGCAAAACTTGAAAGAGAGGAAATATAGGGTAAATCACTTACTTCTGCACTTTAGGGTATTGCATCTCTAAAATGGCATTTGTTGATTCAGTCTGGCTTTCCTTCAAATGCCTTGGCCACATGTTGTCTACCCAGTCGATGAAATCCACCTAGGAGGAAGAATAGGCAAATGGAAGAGTCAGTCAAGGGTCCAACAAAACATGAAAGGATAAAGAAAAATGTGTGCACTCATGTGCATGCACACAAGAACACAGAGTGGAACATTACACAGCCATAAAGAAAAGATGAAATCATGTCCCTTGTGAGGAAACAGAAGCAATCAGAGGACAAACTCAAAAACCAATATATTACTGGTACCAGTGACTTATGCAAATAATCTTAGCCTCTCAGGAGGCTGAGATATGAGGATTGTTGAAAACAAGGCCACCAGCAACAAAAGTCAGAACCAGCTGGTGGTTCACGCCTATAATCCTAGCTACTCAGGAGCTGAGATCTGAGAGTCGGGGCAGGCAAGCCCATGAGACTCTTATCTCCAATTAACTATAAGAAAAGGCTGGAAATGAAGGTATGACTCAAGTGGTAGTGCTAGCCTTAAGCAAAATAATCACAAAGATAGCATCCAGGCCCTGAGATCAAACTCCAGGAACACGGACACGGACACAGGGCGGGGTGGGGAGAGAAAGAGGGGGTTAGGGTAGAAATGGGAAGAGAAGAGAGCGGGTGGGGGGTCGGGGGGGCCAAGGAGGGGGAGAAATCCAGGATGCCAATGTCTCACACCTGTAATCCTAGCTACTCCTGGGGCTAAAATCTGAGGATCAAGGTTCCAAACCAGTTTGAGGATACAAATCCAAGAGACTTTTTTTTTGTTGTTGTTGGTCGTGGGGCTTGAACTCTGGGCCTGGGTGCTGTCCCTCAGCTCTTCAGCTCAAGACTAGTGCTCTACCACTTGAGCTACAGCACCACTTCCGGTTTTCTGGTGGTTTATTGGAGAAAGGAGTCTCACGGTCTCTCCTGCCTGGGCTGGCTTTGAACCACGATTCTCAGATCTCAGCCTCCTGAGTAGCTAGGATTACAGGCGTGAGCCACAAGCACCCGGCTCCAAGAGACTTTTAACTCCAATTAACCATCAAAAAGTCAGAAGCAGAGGTGTGGTTCAAGTAGTAGAGCACAAGCTTTGGGTGAAAAGTTAAGCGCACACGTTGAGGCACCAGCGGTACTGGGCCTTGTACTCAGGGCCTTCACCTTCATTTATAGCTGATGTGCCACCACTTAAGCCACAACAAGGTGGTTAACTGGAGTATCTCAGATTTGTTGTCCTGGCCTGGCTTTAAACCTCAGTCCTCATATTTCAGCCTCCTGAATAGCTAGGATTATAGGAGTAAGTCAACAGAGCCCAGTGATGCTAACTGTTTTAACAATGACCCTGTGAATGCCTTTCTTCCCTCCATATAAACCTACTTTCTGGTAGTGGTTAGCAAATTGTAGCTCCTTATATTATCCTCTGAAAAGCCTTGGACAAAATAATGAAGCAATCTTCTTCAGTACACTATAAACTCTCATGTGGAGAGTTCTTCCTTTGGGTGACAGGAAAGGTTTAGAACATTTTTTTTTTTAATCAAGTATTCATTCAAGAAAAGAACTTATCAGAATAGCAACAAGTTAGTTGAATCTTGCCTCCCTTTCTTTGGTATTATTAGGTATCTACTGACTACAGAAGGGCTTTGTTGTAACATGTCTGTACTTTGGTATGGACATTTAATGCTTAGTTTTTGGATAGGCTGTTTGCAAAATACCTCAGTTCATAAGACACTGTTCTGTACCAAAACTAGGTCCAAACAGAGTCCAGTACCTAAGATCTGATCTATTTATACTGCACATTACAAAACAAATGCACTCATGGCTGTAGCTTTTTTTTGGGTTGATGCTTGGGATAGAAAAGAGCCTCACAGGGCTGGGATGGTGGCTCAGTGGTAGAGCGCTTGCCTTGAATGCATGAGGCCCTGGGTTCTATTCCTCAGTACCAAATAAGCGAAAAGAAAAAAGCCGGAAGTGGCGCTGTGGCTCAAGTGGTAGGCTAGCCTTGAGCTGAAGAGCTGAGGGACAGTGTCCAGGCCCAGAGTTCAGGCCCCACGACCAGACCCAAAAACAAACAAACAAACAACAACAACAACAAAAAAAAACAGAAAAGAGCCTCACATGTACTTGACAAGCATTCTGCAACACCAAGCTCACTACTGAGCTCACTGGTTCCCCAACCCATCTACTGTCATGTTTTACCCACCTGGTTTTGCTAATAGGACAGGAGCAAATGACCATTCTTCACAAGCAAGACATCCAAATTTATGCTTGCTGCTACAAAGGGCATGTAAAGGCTGTCCATCTTACTTCTCCACTATTATTTAACCTACACTATTCCTTCTGCCTACAGTTCTAGTCTTTCTTTTGTCTCCTATTCTTTTATATCAAACTTAGGGGTCATTTTCTACAAAGGGCTTGTACTAACTTTGTTTTACTTTAGATTGTATGGTCCTTCCTAAATATTAGGTATCTAATTCATTCCTTTTTTTTGGGGGGTGGTCTGGTCGTGGGGCCTGAACTCTGGGCCTGCGTGCTGTCCCTCAGCTCTTCAGCTCAAGGCTAGCACTCTACCACTTGAGCCACAGAGCCACTTCCGGCTTTTTTCTTTTTTGCTTATGTGGTGCTGAGGAATCGAACCCAGGGCCTCTGGCATGCAAGGCAAGCACTCTACCACTGAGCCACCTTCCCAGCCCCTATCTATTTTTCCCTATCTTTTTCCCCTAGCACTTGGGATTGAACTAGGGCCTGTATTTATTCCCTTTTTTTTTTTGGTCGGTTGTGGGGCTTGAACTCTGGGCTTGGGTGCTGTCCCTCAGCTCTTCAGCTCAAGGCGAGCGCTCTACCTCTTGAGCCACAGCAGCACTTCCAGTTTTCTAGTGGTTTATTGGAGATAAGAGTCTCACGGACTTTCCTGCCTGGGCTGGCTTTGAACCGGCTGGCTTTGAACCACGATCCTCAGATCTCAGCCTCCTGAGTAGGCTAGGATTACAGGCGTGAGCCACCAGCGCCCGGCTTATTTATTCACTTTTAACATGTTCCCATACTGTAATTGCTTTTGTTTTTTTTTTTTTTTTTGTGCCAGTCCTGGGGCTTAAAACTCCGTTTGACTCAAGGCTAGCGTTCTACCGCTTGAGTCACAATCTCACTTCCAGCCTTTTCTGAGTAAGGCAGTAAGTCTCATAGACTTTCTTGCCCAGACTGACTTCAAACCACAATCCATAGATATCAACCTCCAGAGTAGCTAAGATTACAGGAGCTCGTGAGCCACCAGCACCCAGCCCATACTGCAATTTATATAAATGTATAGTTTTTTGTCTTTCCTCTTTTGAGTATCTATGCTTTTTCTGTTGTTGTTGTTAGTCTTGGGTCTTGAACTCAAGGCCTGGGCACTGTCTCTGAGCTTTTGTGCTCAAGGCTAGCACTGCCACTTGGGCCACAGCTCTACTAGTTCCACTTAAACTGTCTGTGGTTAATAGGAGGTAACAGCCTCACAGACTTTCCTGCCTGCGCTGGCTTTGAACTGTGTTCCTCAGATCTCAGCCGTTTTTTTTTTTTTTTGGTTCAGTCGTGGGGCTTGAACTCTGGGCCTGGGCATTGTTCCTGAGCTCTCCAGCTCAAGGTGAGCACTCTACCACTTGAGCCTCAGCGTCACTTCTGGTTTTATAATAGTTAACTGAAGATAAGTGTCTCACGGACTTTCCTGCCCCGGCTGGCTTTGAACCATGATCCTCAAATCTCAGCCTCCTGAGTAGCTAGGATTACAGGCATGAGCCACTGGCACCCAGCTAGTCATGATTTTTATAAATATACTAGAACATTCTAAGTTCTACTGTACCTGATAGGATATCTGACTCAAGTGAATTCATTTATTGCTTTTGATAGTAGTACCAGAACTTGAATTCAGTATCTCCTGCTCCTGTTAAACTTTCCCATGCATGGCTGGTGCTCTACCCTTCTGAGACACATCTCTAGCCTGGTAAGAGTTCTTTCTGTTTTTAGTCAGGCTAGTCTTGAAGTTATGCACTCAAGTGATTCTTCTGTTACAGAGTCTTGAGTAGAAGGGATTACAAGGTTGTACCTGACCTCTAAGGCAAAATAAATGAAGAGCCTTTCCCTCAGAAAAAGAAGCAGCCTCAATATTAATGTAGATGGCCACTATTATCCCAAAAGATGGGCTACATGATGTTTTCCTTCAGAAGAATTAAAAAATTAAATTAAAAAAATACATGAAACTTACTTTGTATTAAATGGGTTGCCAATTGAATATTACCAATCAGAAGTGGAGCTGTGGCTCAAGTGGTAGAACTTAAGCCTTGAGTAGGCCCTGATTTCAAGCCCCAAGACCTGAACCAAAAAAACAAAAAATTCATTTTGGCAACAATGACAATATGGAGTAAATGATCAGACTAACCGTGGAAGGCCTCTGTACCATATTCTCCAGCCTGGTATGGCTAAATTCTAAGCTGATGACATTATAAAGTTTCTCTCGCTCCTCTTCTGGTGTCTCGTAGTAGCGTGTCCACTGAGCCATGGTCATTTCAATGCCTTTTTGTGTGTTCACATCCATAACATCCACCATTCGACGACTCCCTGTCATGAGAGAAGCATTCATCATCTCTACTGAGCCACTAATACTCTTAAATATAGTAAGAATATAAAACACAAGTATAGAAGAAAACAAACCATCCATTCTTTTTTTTTTTCTTGGTCTGTCCTGGGGCTTGAACTCTGGGCCTGGGCTCTGTCTCTCAGCTTTTCAGCTCAAGGCTAGCGCTCTACCACTTGAGCCACAGAGCCACTTCCAGTTTTCTGGTGGTTTATTGGAGATAAGAGTCTCACAGCTTTTCCTGCCCAGGCTGGCTTTGAACCATGATCCTCAGCTCTCAGCTTCCTGAGTAGCTGATACTCAGCTCTCAGCCTCCTGAGTAGCTAGGATTACAGGTGTGAGTCACCAGGGCCCGCTCCATTCTTATTTAGATAAGGAGAAAGGTCCTTACTGGAGATGGGTAAGTATAACCAAAGTTCAGGAAATGAAAAAAGACAACAGGTACAGTTAAAAATGACAATCATTTCTTATGCTACATTTTAATACATTGTCAGGTAGTGAATTTTTTATTCAGTATCTAGCATTTAATTCTAATAATTTTAAATACTAAGTGTCAATCAATCTCTATTTTATTATAGGTGTCAGGTACCTTGCAAGACAAAGTAGGACAAGAACCTTGGCACTGACTCTAAACTTTAAAGTAAATGCTCTTACCCAGTGAGTTATATCCCTATGACAGCCTTGAAAACTGAGGTAATCTTTCCCATAATTTGAGAAAAGGACCTACTTCTTTGTGGATAGCAGGCATTAAAACTAAATGTATGGGGGGGGGGTAGAAAGTTGGCTCAGTGGTAGAATGCTTGCCTCCTATGCATGAGGCCCTGGATTTGATTCCTCAACACCATGTAAGCAGAAAAAAGCCAGAAGTGGTACTGTGGCTCAAGTGGTAGGATGCTAGCCTTGAGCTGAAGAGCTAAGGGACAGCGCCCAGGCCCAGAGTTCAGGCCCCACGACTGACAAAAATAAAAAAAATAATAATAAATAAAAAATCTGAATGTAGAGGCTGGAAATGTGGTTTAGTGGTAGAGTGCTTGCCTAACATGCATAAAGCCCTGGGTTTGATTCCTCAGCACCACATCAACAGAAAAGGCTGGAAGTGGTGCTGTGGCCCAAGTGGTAGAGTGCTAGCCTTAAGCAAAAGAAGCTCAAAGATAGTGGCAGGCCCCGAGTTCAAGCCCCATGACACCCCCCCAAAAAAAAACACAAAACACTACACACACACACAAAAAAAAACCCTGAATGTATATGCATATGTGTATGCATGTGTGTGTGTGTGTGTGTGTGTGTGTGTGTGTGTGTGTGTGTGTATGCATACATGTGTATTTTTTTGCCCCTTAAGTGCCAATTCTGGAAGTTGAACTCAGGGACTGGGTACTGCCCCTAAGGTTTTGTGCTCAAGGCTAGCACTCTACCACTTGAGCTACAGCTCCATTTCTGGCTATTGGTTGGTTAAATGGAGATAAAAGTCTTGTGGACGAATGACTGGGCTGGCCTTGAACTGCAATCCTCAGAGTTCAGCCTCCTGAGTAAGATTATAAGTGTGAACTACTGACACAGGGGAATTTATCTATTCTTAATTTTCAGCCCCTCCCCTATCCAAACCTGTCAATAATTACTTCTAATATAAACTATTAATTCCATGAATATTTGCAATCTGATTAGGGCATCATGATACACACAAAGGCCTTTTTTTTTTTTGTCAGTCATGGGGCTTGAACTCTGGGCCTGGGCACTGTCCCTGCACTCTTCAGCTTGAGGCTAGCACTCTACCACTTAAGCCACAGCGCCACTTCCGGTTTTCTAGTGGTTTAGTGGAGAGTCTCACGGATTTTCCTGCCCAAGCTGGCTTTGAAGCATGATCCTCAGATCTCAGCCCCTTGAGTAGCTAGGATTACAGGCGTGAGCCACCAGTGCCCGGCTACAAAGGCCTTTTCCATCAACCATAACAATAACAACAAAATGTAGAACGACATTCCTTACTAGTTAGGTTACATGATCAGGATGAGAAAACAATAGCTTTGTATCTAAAGATAATTAAGTATATATCTTAGCTCCAGTACTAGAGAAGACATGTGACTGATCCCAAATGATCCCAAATAAATTCTTTGCTGGTTTCTTTTTTTCTAACTGTATTTCTTTTGTCTTTTCTTTTTTAGTACTGGGGATCAAACCCAGCATGTTCTACTTGCTGGGCAAGTGCTTTGCCACTGAGCTACATCCTAGCCCCCAAATACATTCTTGAGGGTTACTGTTAATGAAGTAAAATGTTTAGTACAAAGTACAGAAGTAAAAATGAAAGGAAAATTTCCTATTTCTATCATGCTGAATAGATGAGGATTTAAAAAAAGAGGTTCACTTGGCGACAGTGGCTCAAACCTATAACCTAGCTACTCAGGAGGCTGGGATCTGAGGATCGCAGTTTGAAGCCCACCTGGGCAGAAAACTGGTCTGTGAGACTTATCTCCAATAAGCTACCCAGAAAAAGCCAACAGTGGTGCTGTGGTTCAAGTGGTAGAGCACTAGTCTTGAGCACCAAAGCTCAGGGACAGTGTTCAGGACCTGAGTTCAAGCCCCAGGACCAGCAAAAAAAATAAATAAAAAGAATAGGGCTGAGAATGTGGCTTAGTAGAGTGCTTGCCTCGCATGCATGAAAAACCCTAAGTTTGATTCCTCAGTACCACAAAAGCAGAAAAAGTTGGAAGTGGCACTGTGGATCAAGTTGTAGAGTGCTAGCCTAGAGCAAAAGAAGCTCAGGGACAGCGCCCAGGGGCTGTGTTCAAGCCAAGAAAAAGAAAAAGAAAAGCCGGGCGCTGGTGGCTCACGCCTGTAATCCTAGCTACTCAGGAGGCTGAGATCTGAGGATCTCGGTTCAAAGCCAGCCCGGGCAGAAGAGACCGTGAGACTCCTATCTCCAATAAACCACCAGAAAACCGGAAGTGGCGCTGTAGCTCAAGTGGTAGAGCACTAGTCTTGAGCTGAAGAGCTGAGGGACAGCGCCCAGGTGAAAAGGTTAAAAGATAAATAGGACTCTAATAAGGGAAGATTTAAAAACAAATCTAAGCAGAGGCAACAGCGTAAAAGAAAATATGCAAGGCAGGACAGTTATGATTCAGAATATGATGATCGAGGAGAAAAAACAAAGACAGGAAAGAGTTGTTAAATATAGCCCACCTTGTAAGAACTTTATGTACTTGACTTCTTAATTATTCAGGTAATATTAGAACACAGTGCCCTGCATTCAAAATGTAAGAGAGCCGGGCGCCAGTGGCTCACACCTGTAATCCTAGTTACTCAGGAGACTGAGACCTGAGGACTATAGTTCAAAGCCAGCAGGGGCAGGAAAGTCCCAAGACTCTTATCTCCCCCACCAGAAAACTGCCAGTGGCACTGTGGCTCAAAATGGTAGAGCACCAGCCTTGAGTGGAAAAAGTTTAGGGACAGCACCCACGCCCTAGTTCAAGCCCCACAACCAATGCCCCCCCAAAAAAGGGCAATGGATTAAATAACCCTACTCTTCACATTTTTTCGAGAAAAGGCCAATATTGGGGAGAGAAGTGATGGTAGGGAAAAAACGAAGGAGGAGGTAACAACGCTGGATAGGCAATATACTTATTACCTTACTCATGTAACTGTAACAGTATTTTTACAATAAAAAATATATACAAACAAAATGCCAATGTCAAAACTACCATGAGATAGCACTTCATTCACTAGGTTGACATAATTTTGTTTACTTACTTCTGTTTAAGTTGTGTGCTTCCTTATTGATGTTTCCATGCTGTCAATACATTGTTTCTTGACTTTCTATAGTTTCCTTTATCTCTCTGAACATCTTTATGATAAGTTATTTGAAGGTCTGTCCCTTGCAGAT